CGGCGCGCGTGGCGGGTGCCGGCCTTGCAGTAGCACATGCCTGTGTCTGAGTCGCAGGTGCCGGCGCAGCGGGAGAAGGTGAAACCTGGAGCCCGCCAATCTAGGTCCTGGCCGTCCGGCCCCACGTGGCTGGCGGGGCCGGCAGACGAGGAGTCGCTGTAGCGGTTTGTGCACGGCCGCTTGTCGGGCGCCGAGCAGTCGGCGCCGCCCCAGCCTGCAAAGTTTGAAGTGGGACGGCACGGCGGCGGCGGGGTCCACTTGTAAGCGTGCATCGTATGCTCTGGGCGCGTCTGGCGGCCCGCCGTCGCGCTGCGTGCCACAGTCCGGGCTGCGGGTACGCCACGCGACGGCAGATCCTGTATAGCTGTGATCATGGCGGGCCGCCCTCCCGCCACTGCTGGTCTCGCGGCCCTGCCGCGTTATGCGTCTTTATTCGTCGTGCTGCTGCTCACCAGCCGGGCAGTCGCAGCGGCCGATGTCTGCATTGCACACGCCGTGCCCACTGCAGTCCTTCGGGCAGCGCTTGCTGTGCAGTGTAGGTGCTCGCGCGATCGCTGGGAGCAATGGCTGCCGGTGAAACGCCTGGCACCAATCACCCTTGGCACCAAAGCATCGTGGGTGCCTTCCCAAAGGCTCCGCGGCCGCGCCTCCCAAGCGAGTGCCGCGGTGCCCTGCTCCGGCAACGAGGAGGAGCAGGGCCAGCAGCTGGAGCTGATGCGGCTTCATGCCTGACCTAAAGACACACCATATCACCGGACGTCATTGCTGAACCTCGCTCTAACGCACTACCCGCTGGCTCACAACCTGACACGGCATTGAGCTTCCGAACGAGCGGGTTACTCTCCAATGAGGGCATTACTATCAGCGACAGGAGCGGGTTGAGGTCGAGCCTGGCGGCTGTAAGGGCGGATGAAGCAAACGCTGGTGCAGCAGCCGCCCTGTTGGCACAGTAGTCGTGGCAACAGTCATCAACAGCTGGCCCCTGCGAGGCCCCACAAGGAACCCTCGCAGCGCTCCACAGCGTGCGTTGAAATCACATGGAACCACATACAAGCCAAGTCATCACAATCAAGGCGCCGCTGCCGCCGTGTCTCATCACCACTGCATCCACGCCGCCGCCCACTTTGGCGCCGCCCTGTGCTCTCCGCACAGCCGCGCCAGCGCGCCCGCGTTCCACCCGCTCCCCGCGTTGCCAGCCTCCGGGCCCCCTCTCAACCCCGCCTCCTCCGCGTGGATGCCCCCTACTATGAACAGGCCCGGCCCCGTCCCCGCCGCGGCAGCGCCGGCAATGTCGTGCTGCAGGCTGTCGCCAATCGCCAGCCAGCGCCCTGCGTGCACATTAGGCGCCATCGCCGCCGCCGCCTCGTATATGATGGGGCTCGGCTTGCCCATGAGCACCGCGTCTCCTCCCAGCTCTTGGTACCATTGAGCAAGGGTGCCTGGCATCGTAATCAGGCCGCCGGCGCCGTCGACGGTGACAATATCTGTGATTGCGGGTACCGGGCGGCGTGGTGGGTTTGGGCAAGGGAGGCTGGGGGAGGGACGGTTGAGTGTGCGCCCGCCGCACGAGGTGGTGTGGGGCTGGCAAGAAAAGCGTGGGTTGTCGGGGTGGCGTCGCAAGCGCGCCGCGCCCCGCGCCCCTCCCCCAAGTGCGGGCAGTCTGCGCCACCTGCTCACAGCGCAACGCGTTCAGTGGCGAAGCTAAGCGGCCCTGGCGCCGCATACGCGCTGGTGAAGCTCAAAATTTAGCGGAAATCGTGATAACGGAACCAGCAGGCAGCACCTACCTGGGTTGGCAACAACCATCGGCATCGGCCGCCCCCTCCGCTGCGCCTCCGCCGCGCACTCCCGCAGCAGCGCCCGCAGCTCCTCCAGAGACGCGTCCCTCGCGCCGCCGCCGCCGCCGCCGCCGTCGCCCGGCTCGCCCACCGCCTCGGTGCCGTGTGCTAGTATGAAGTCCGCTTCGGCCGGCGAGCCTACCACCTGAGTGAAGGAGGCAGGGGCAGCCTTCTCAAAAACCAGTGATGCAGGCCGGCGCTCGCAGCTTGTGTTTCTGGTTTGTTAGCCCTCTAAAAAACTGCAATACATTTGCAGCTGTCTGAGAACCTTTTGAGATGACTTCGAAGACTTTCCTTCCATAACCAACAGCATCACATGTACACATGCGCCAGGCGCCTCACCTGCAGCCCCAAGCCGTCGAGGCTGATGGCGCCGCGCGAAGACCAGGTGATGTGGATGCAGCGCGTGCCCAGGGCGCGCCACCAGGCGTTGGCGCGCTCCGCCAGGCACCGGTGGGCCATCTCGCCGCTGGTGACGGCGCCTGGGCCCGTCGGTTGGAAGGGGCCCATTAGTAACAGAATACGGTCAGCCGGCTGTGTTGGCAAGCAGGGCGGGTTGCTTTTGAGCCCGGGAGCGGCAGGTGTGCCTATGGAGAGACGCGGCGTCGCATGCATTTGCTCTGGGGTGCCACGACACTGCTCGCACCCCGCCGTCTGCTCGCTCGCCACGCCTGGACGCGCACGGGTGCGTGTTTCCTCGCCCCGCCCCCACGCCTCCCTCACCACACGCCCAGCCCAGCCCCCTCACCCGTGAACCACTCCGCCTCGAACCCCATCTTGACCAGCTTCCCGACGGTCCCCGCCGATCGCCTGGACGAGTTGGACACGATCACGACCCTCTTGCCCGCCGCGTGCAGCCGCGCGACGGCCTCGATCGCGCGGGGGTAGGGGGTGCGGCCATCGTGCAGGACGCCAAACTGGTCCAGCAGGACTCCGTCGAAGGACTCGGCTATTTCGCGGATGCCGCCGATCCTGCGCGCGGCGCCGTGTTGTATCATGGGCGTTTGCCAGCGTTTGCCATCGCAACTTGTGGTTGCCGCACCGGAGCGCTTCGGCAGCGTTTGCATGAGCGATGCACTATCGGGGGGAAACCATTGTGCAGGGGTACTCAGGAAACTCTTAGGGTATGTATGCTCTACGCATCGGGCGCTATGAGTGCTTACGTCGTCGGGTGGTAGGGCGCCGCATCGGCGCCTGCGCTGCTGCTCGCCATCCCGCTGGCTTTTGGTGGATCTGACCGGGCTCGGGGAGCCCGCTGAGCTACACCAGCTGCAGTCCTCTGATCTAGGCGTCGTCTTCGAATGGATTCACGTCCCAATGAGCGCATAGCTGCTCAGCTGGTCAATCGATCTGAGCTTCGAAGCACAGGGTTTGGTCGTGGCGCGTCCACAACAAGTATCAGACAGTTTAACTTACGCGGTTACTCGAGGCAGGGCTCAGTCCATCTACAACAGCGCCGCAATCAAAGCGGCACTGCGAATCTGCAGCTGGACACCCGCTGCACGCACACTACGAGCTGACCTATTGCACGAGCTGGTCTGGAAGTTTATGTGAATGCTTGGGCAAAATCCAGCTGCGCTGGTGGCTTGCAGCGTTCCAACCAGTCTCAATTCACTATGCAGGGGAGGTTGACCGGTCAACACTTGACCCAGCAGGCCCATCTTATTTCTATCCTGCGTCCCACTGCCGGAAGCGATCGCGACGTTTTACAGCCGTTTCACCACGCATCAAAGTTTCCAAAGCCGCCGCTCGCTTTCTGCTTCTTGGGCGCCGGCGGCTGCATGCTCCCCCCCGCCGCCGCCCCCGCCGCCCCTGCGGCGCCGCCCGCCGCCGCCGCGAGCGCCCTGCCGCCCACACCGCCGCCGCCGCCGCCAGCCCCTGAATCCAGCTTTGCGTCTTGCACGTACTTGCCCACGCCGCTGCGCACGGCCGCCGCGGCGTGGCTGGCGGCCGGGTTGCTGTACCACTGGCTTCGCTGGTTCTCGGGGTCCTGCGGGTTGCCGCCTGCCGTCTGGGTTTGGTGAGATGTAGCGGGGTGTTGGTAAAAGTAGGAGAGGGGTGGGTCGAACGGGCTGGAGGGGAAGCCCCCTCATGGCTTTGCGCCGCCCGAAACCGCACGGCGCATGGCAGCTGCGACGACCAGACACGTGCGGGACGTGGAGGGATCGCCGAGCGCGCCGCTCACGGAAGAGCACGCCCCTCGCCTCTGGCCGATCCCTGTTTCGAGACGCACCAACCGCGCGCACCACGTGCGGCAGCTGTCCCACGCCAGCCCCCACGACGCCGGCCGCTGCCCCGTGCGCCGAAAACCCAAGCAATCCCAACCCCTGCGCCGACCTTTTTTGCCTCCTCCGCCTCTTTGGCCGCCTCCTCATCGCGCATCTCCTGGAAGGGGTTTGTGAAGATCGTGACGCCAGTGATGGCAATCTCCTGCAGCGGCCGGTCGTCGGAGTCCGTTGGGACCTGGGGAGGCCGGGGTTGGCGCATTAGGAGCGGAATTCGTAGGGTCGGGGGGCGGTGCACGCGTCGCGAAGAGGTCCTGGCGCGCACCACAGGTGTCGCCATCCGTCTCGTGCGCCGACAGTCATCAGGGCCTCCCGCCCCTGACTCAGGGCAGCATCGCTGCCCCCTCCCCCCACCCCCAAAAAAACAATACACCGCCCACCTTTTCCATGAG